TACATCTTCTTTGATGAAATATCTGTTTAGGTCTTTTGCCCACTTTTTGGTTCGGTTGTCCATTTTTCTGGTATTTAACTGCATGAATATTTTGGAGATTAATTCTTTGTCAGTTGTTTCATTTACTGTTATTTTCTCTCATTCTGAGGGCAGTCTTTTCACCTTGCTTATGGTTTCTTTCATTGTGCAAAAGCTTTTAAGTTTAATTAGATCCCATTTGTTTATTTTTGTTTTTGTTTCCATTAATCTGGGAGGTGGATCATAGAGGATCTTGCTGTGATTTATGTTGGAGAGTGTTCTACGTTTTCCTTTAAGAGTTGGAAAGCAGAGAAACTAAAGAAACAATCCCATTCACCATTGCAACAAAAACAATAAAAAACTTAGAAATAAATTTACATGAGGAACAAGACCTGTATATACAGAACTGTAAAACATGATGAAAGAAATCAAAGATGGCACAAATAGATGGAGAAATATACCATTTTCTTGTATTGGAAGAATCAATATAGTGAAAATGAGTATACTACTCAAAACAATCTATAGATTCAGTGCAATCCCTATCAAACTACCAAACATATTTTTCACGGAAACTAAAGCAAACAATTTCCTGATATGTATGGAAACACAAAAGACCCTGAATAGCCAAAGTAATGCTAAGAATGAAGAATGGAACTGGAGGAATCAACGTGCCTGACTTCAGACTATACTACAAAACTACAGTCATCAAGACAGTACGGTACTGTCACAAAGAGAGAAATATAGATCAGTGGAACAAAATAGAAAGTCCAGAGATAAATCCACCCAACTATGGACATCTTATTTTGACAAAGGAGGCAAAAATATAAAATGGAGAAAAGACAGTCTCTTCAACAAGTGGTACTGGGAAAACTGGTCAACTATGTGTAAAAGAATGAAAATGAGAACACTTTCTAACACCATTCACAAAAATAAACTCATAATGGGTTTAAGAGGGTTAAATGTAAGACCAGAAAGTCTTGTTCATGGAATCTTTAAATATTACTAATACTGCTTTCAATAGTTTTTTCTAATGATTGTAATTGAGGTATATCATGAATGTCATTCCAGCAAGCTATAAAACTCTTACCATTGCTAAGGGTTGTTGTCGTTCAGTTGCTGAGTCATGTCCAACACTTTGTGACTCCATGGGCTGCAGCACGTCAGGATTCTCTGTTCTTCACTGTCTCCCACAGTTGGCTCAAACTCATGTACATTGAGTCATTGATGCCATCCAACCATCTCATCCTCTGTTGCCCCCTTTTCCTCCTGCCCTCTGTCTTTCCCAGTGTTGGCTCTTTGCATTAGGTGGCCAAAGGACTGGAGCTTCAGCTTCAGCTTCAGTCCCTCCAATGAATATTCAGGGTTGATTTCCTTTAGGATTGATGGATTTGATCTCCTTGCAGTCAAAGGAATTCTTGAAAGTCTTCTCTAGCATCACAGTTCAAAAACATCAATTCTTCAGCGCTCAGTCTTCTTTATGGTCCAACTCTTACATTCATACGTGACCACAGGAAAAACCATAGATTTGACTAGAAAGACCTTTGTCAGTAAAGTGATGTCTCTGAACTTTTAATACACTGTCTAGGTTTGTCATAGCTTTTCTTCCAAGGAGCAAGCATCTTTAAATTTCATGGCTGTGGTCACTGTCTGCAGTGATTTTGGAGACCCTAAAAATAAAGTCTGTTAACTGTTTCCATTTTTTCCCCATCTATTTGCCATGAAGTGATATGATGGGATGCCATGATCTTGGTTTTTTGAATGTTGAGTTTTAAGCCAGGTTTTTCACTTTCCTCTCTCACCTTCATCAAGATGCTCTTTAGTTTCTTGCTTTCTGCCCTTAGGGTGCTATCTTCTGCATATCTGAAGTTGTTGATATTTCTCCCAGAAATCTTGATTCCATCTTGTGATTCATACAGCTTGACTAACAGCAAAGGCATTAAAAAAAATGTGCAACTCTGTTAACATTAATCCAATCATCCAACTTAGTTTTATCTTTCATAATGATTCATATGCAAATTTTTTTACATGTCAAACATTTGTAAGTTCTCCATATGAGAACTAGAGCCTTCCTAACCTCCTGTCAATTTCCACCTCTGAGAGAAAACCACTTTCAACTCTTTTAACTGATTATTAGATTTTAGTGCCAAAAGTCATATAGCATGGGTTTCTCAGGTGGTGCTAGTGGTAAAGAATCTGCCTGCTAATGCAGGTGACATAAGAGATATGGGTTTGATCTCTGGGTTGTGAAGATCCCCTGGAGGAGGGCACGACAACCCACTGCAGTATTCTTGCCTGGAGAACCCCCATGGACAGAGGAGCCTGACAGTCTCAGTCCATAGGGGCACAGAGTGTCTAACACCACTGAAGTGACTGAGGACACATGCACATGTCATATAGCATGCTTCTATGGCCACCTCATGTGAAGAGTTGACTCATTGGAAAAGACCCTGATGCTGGGAGGGATTGGAGGCAGGAGGAGAAGGGGATGACAGAGGATGAGATGGCTGGATGGCATCACTGACTCGATGGACATGAGTTTGAGTAGACTCCAAGAATTGGTGATGGACAGGGAGGCCTGGCGCGCTGCGATTCATGGGGTCACAAAGAGGCAGACATGACTGAGTGGCTGAACTGAACTGAACTGATAGCAACTTGTTGTTTTCTCACCCTTAGACATCATTTATGGACATGACTCTGTGGAAGATGAGATGTAATGTTTTGTTACTCCTGACTTCATGCCACACAGATTCATCTGATTCCTCATCACAAATCTGTATGAAAGTCAAGAAGCAACAGTTAGAACTGGACATGGAGAAACAGACTGGTTCTAAATTGAGAAAGCAGTGTGTCAAGGCTGTATATTGTCACCCTCCTTATTTAACTTATATGCAGAGTACACCATGCAAATGCCAGGCTGGATGAAGCATAAGCTGGAATCAAGATGGCCAGGAGAAATATAAAAAATCTCAGATACACAGATGACACAACTCTTATGGCAGAAGGTGAAGAAGAACCAAAGAGCCTCTTGATGAAAGTGCAAGAAGAGAGTGAAAAAGTTGGCTTAAAACTCAACATTTAGAAAACTAAGATCATGGCATCTGGTCCAATCACTTCATGGCAAATAGATGGAGAAACAATGGAAACAGTGGCTGACTTTATTTTTTTGGGCTCCAAAGTCACTGCAGATGGTGATTGCAGCCATGAAATTAAAAGACACTTGCTCCTTGGAAGAAAAGCTATGACAAAATTAGACAGAATATTAAAAAGCAGAGACATTTCTTTGCCAGAAAAGGTCCATCTAGTCAAAGCTACGGTTATTTCCAGTAGTCATGTATGTATGTGAGAGTTGGACCATAAAGAAAGCTGAGCCCTGAAGAACTGATGCTTTTGAACTGTGGTGTTGGAGAAGACTCTTGAGAGTCCCTTGGACTGCAAAGAGATCGAACCAGTCCATCTTAAAGGAAATCAGTACTGAATATTCATTGGAAGAACTAATACTGAAATTGAAACTTCAATACTTTGACCACCTGATGCGAAGTTTGAACTGACTCATTGGAAAAGACCCTGATTCTGGGAAAGATTGAAGGTGGGAGGAAAAGGGGAACAACAGAGGACAAGATGGTTGGATGGCATCACCACCTCAATGGACATGAGTTTGAGTAAGCTCTGGGAGTTGGTGATGGACAGGGAAGCCTGGTGTGCTTCAGTCTGTGGGGTCGCAGAGAGTTGGACATGACTGAGCGACTGAACCGAACTGAACTGAACTGAATATAATTTTGAATAACTTAGTACTGTCTATGTTATGTTATTATGACTGTGAAGTTGCTATCTATAGCTGTCTTTGTAACATTGCTGGTTTTGGCTTATGTTGATCCTCTCATCTGTTTGTTTGTATAACCACCACCATGATCAGGATATACATCACATGACCACAAAGTCTCTCATGTGATAGCCCTTTAAAATGACATACATCCCCACCAAACCAAACCTCTGGCAAATGCCATTGTATTTTCTTTCCATATAATTTCAAGTGTGCTATATCAGTGGAATTCATATTTTGAGACTGGCTTTGTGTATTCAACCTAATACCTTCAAGAAACTTATAATTGTTCCACACACACATATGTAAAACCCATCCTTTATGCTGTTGAATAGTATTTCCTGTTATGGGTGCACCACAGTTTGTTAAGCTGTACACATATTACAGAAAAATCTGCTATAACATTCATGCACAGGTTTTGTGTGGAGGTAGTTTTCATTTTTATGAATAAATGTCTGGGAGCATAATTTCTGGGTCATATAATGCACTTCCTTTTATGAAAGAAGTAAGAAATGATTTCTTTTTTGGAGGCAGGTCATACAAGTTCTGAGGTCCACATTGCACTGTGGAATTGGCTAAGTGTTACTAATTACATTATTAAAAGATTGGAGTAGGAAATCATTACTGGAGCAGACCTGCTTCCATTCCACAGGGTTGAGAGGCCCTGGAGAAACTTCTTTTGGTTGAGTCAGGTGTAGAATAAGACTACAAGCCAACCACATCCTAGGGTCCTGGAATTGGTACTTTGGGACAAGCCCACAGTCACAGATTCTTCCTGGGATCTGTGAGTTTGCCTAGGGCTCCCAAATTGGGGTTCACCATGGATGGGGTCAAGGGCTCAATGGAGAGAACAGTGGCCCCAAGTTCTAGCCAAGTGAGGAGCAAGTTTATTTCTGTTAGGCTTGTTCAATCTCTCTGAAAACATAAGATGAGTAACTCCTCACTCTCCATGAGCCTTCCTTGTCTGAAGTCTATTTCATCATCTGAAGCAGAAACTGCCTAGAATGTAGAAGCAGATTACAATTTCACAAACATTTCACATCATCGTAGGCACTTCCTCTTATATCACAGGAGGTGGGGCTTCTCTCCTTTCCACTGAGCACAGATGTTCGGGTTTGCCCTAGGACATATTTGGACAGAGCAGGTTCCTCAGGCCTCTATGATGCCCATCCCTGCCTTCTGGGTCCACCCTCCTCCTCTTTGCCTGCTGCTGACTCTACTCCTGAGACTCCCAGGTAAGTATTCCTTTGGGTAGAATCTCCTTTTTCCTGCCCTCTGGACCTTACACTGCCCTTCTACTTTTAGGGTCTCTATGTAAACATGAGTGTTCAGTCCACCCTACAGAAGTCCATGGGGTGGACATTATCTGAGAGCATGAAATCAGGGATCTGAGTGTTTTCTCTGTGGATCCATCACCCGCAGCCTGTTACCAGAGGCTTCCAAACAGACACTTCAAACACCAACCATGACAGATTTGTGCATATTATCTAATTCTCACAATGTCCCAGTGTGATAACTATTAACAGTGAACTACAGATGGGGAAATTGAGGCAGAGAGTAACTTGACCAATGTCACAATGTCATCTAAAGCAGTAGAGCACAGGATTCAAATCCAGGATGTCCAGCTGCAGAACTGATTCTTTGGGCCATGTTGTGCTGCTCAGCTTCTCAGAGGAGCCTAATGGCAGAAAAATCAGAAAACAGAGAAGTAAATAACAGGTAAATCATCACACATCATGCTACTCATTTAAAAATCTTGCAGTGTGTACTCCCAAACTTTTGTCAGTGATGTGTTGGATGGTTCTTATCTGCTAATTTTTTTTTTTTTTACCGAGCTTTGAACATCTGTTATAATGCTGTTTGATCCTCAAAACAACCTGTACACTACCATTCTAGGCTACATTTTAATACATGTTTGTGGATGCATGTTATTTATGTATGTGCATGTTAATGTATGTGAATGAGTGGGTATGAGGAAGTGTTCTCAGAAATGAGATTTCAAAATGACTTCCTTATTTTTCCCATGAATCATTTTTCACTCTACATGAAATGACATAGACAGATAATTAGTTTCTACAGCTCTCCTTTTAACTTCTTTATATATTTATCCCTTGGAAAAGTGAAACTGTTAGTTGTTCAGTAGGGTCTGACTCTGCGACACTATGGATTGTAGCCCCCCAGGCTCCTCTGTCCATGGAATTCTCCAGGCAAGAATACTGGAATGGGTAGCCATGCCCTTCTCCAGGGGATCTTCCCAACCCAGGGATCGAACCGAGGTCTCCTTCATTCCAGGCAGGTTCTTTATCGTCTGTGCCACCAAGGCTTATCCTTCCTCAAACTCTTAAGAAAACTTGGTTCTTGGTAAATGGGTAGCATTTTGTGCATTACTATCTTGGAGTCCCCTCTTTCCTGCTGGATAGGAGTGAAGAAGAAAGGAGGGGATTAAAGACACAGAGACTCTTGCCTATAAGATCTATATACTCATATCCATATCTGTAATTATATTTATATCCATATTTATAAGAATCTATATAATCTAATGCTGGTTGAAGCCTCCATGCCTCAGGAAATCTATTGAGTAACAACTATTCATTTTCTTGCACATTCATCATGTACCAGACACTGTTGGAAATGCTCACAGTTATTTTCTCATGTGACATCATATCCAAGCTAGATCTTCTGGTCACCCCTACCTTACAGATAAGAAAACAGAGCAAGAAGAAGTTCAAGGTCACTCAATGGTAAATGGTAGGAGTATGATTTAAATTCAAGCAATCTGATACTAGAGCTCATGAGTTTAATCTTTGGTCTTCTTGTTGCTGTGGCCCTGCTTCTATCTCATGATCATGAGATTTCAGCCACTTCTGTCAATAGATATGCAGAGGGGGGAGTGTGGGGAAGGTTTGTGGTTTTCTTCTTCTGGCTCTTCTGCTTCTTGCATACATACAAGTTCCTTTTGTTTTTTCCCAAGTCATATATTTATTCTGACATTTGGTTGACAATAGACTCCTGAGGACATAGAAGCAACCAGAACATTTGAGGTTATGATACACATGCAAAAAAGAAGATGTAAAAATGGCTAGCACCTGGACAGTAGCTAGTAGAGATAAGAGGAAAAAATTCAGGTTCTGGGTGCATGCTGAAGAGGATTTTCTGATAAATAGGATTTGTGGTGGGAGGAAACACTATAGCTTTGGGCTTTGTGCATCTAGAAGAAGTGTGGTGGCTCAGCTGAGATACAGAGGGTGGAGGGAAGATTCAGTTTGGTTTCAGATGTTGTTAACTGTGATATATCTATTTCTATCCAAAAAACACGACAAGTGGAGAGTTGCAAAGCAAGTTCAGAGGGAAGACCTGGGCCAGAGACATAAATAGAAAAATTACTGATTCATGATTGTAGAGATTTTTTTTTCCTATTCCTTGTTTCTATGATCCCTCTTCTCCCTCCATTTCTCTCTCCAACTTTTTTTCATGTTTCTTCCCATTTTTGTCTTAGCAGTTCACTTTCCCCAACCTCAGTCTTCTTTTTCAGACTTTAAAAACTAAACCATTTGATGATGTTGGCACATCACAGGACCTTCCCTGTAACAGGACACACCCTTGTTAGGAGGCATGCTGCTGCTGCTAAGTCACATCAGTTGTGTCCGACTCTGTGCAACCCCATAGATGGCAGCCCACCAGGCTCCCGTCCCTGGGATTCTCCAGACAAGAATACTGGAGTCGGTTGCCATTTCCTTCTCCAGTGCACAAAAGTGAAAAGTGAAAGTGAAGTCGCTCAGTCATGTCCGACTCTTCACAACCCCATGGACTGCAGCCTATCAGTCTCCTCCATTCTTGGGATTTCCCAGGCAAGAGTACTGGAGTGGGGTGCCATTGCCTTCTCCCGTTAGGAGTCATAATTGGTTACAAACAGTGCTTAAGCAAAAGTCACTCAGTTGTGTTAGCTTCTTTGCAACCCCATGGACTATACAGTCCATGGAGTTCTTCAGGCCAGAACACTGGAGTGGGCAGCCTTTCCCTTCTTCAGGGAATCTTCCCAACCCACGTCTCCTGCATTGCAGGTAGATTCTTTACCAGTTGAGCTATGAGGGAAGCCCCAAATAGTGCCTAGTGGGTGGATTTATCAGCTCACACTCTGCACAGGTGAACCACACATTTTCTCCCTAAGGAGTGGGAAAGAAATAGAAAAAAAAATACAGGATTTGTTTGTGGCATCAAAACAACTTGCTCTTTTGATTTACATCCCAGCAATTAGACCTATGCCTGTTTAATAGGATATTTCAGATAAGAAAGATTGTGTTTGTACTTCTCTGTATCTCCTGAAACTAGATAGTCAGTGAGGCAATGAAATTAACCTGGAAAATTTGTACCTGTAGTTAAATAATTTGCCCAATGGTGACTCATGTCCCTTCAATTCATAATTCACTGTTTAAATGTATTAAAACCACCCACAGTTCTTTTCAAAACACTATTTTGGAGTGTACTGTTTCCTTGCTTTCTTGCCCCTATAGTTCTCTCTCCCAATTCATCTATAGGTTCCTCAAATGTATTAATGGTTAGAACCACACACTTTATTCTTCCTTGAGTCATGGAGTTCAATTCAAACGCTCTACATGGGACAGTCACCTTGTTTCAGTTTGCAAATTTTTTATTGCAGTAAAATATACATAACACAAAATCTACCAGTTTCACTATTTTTAAGGACACAAAGTGGCAGTAAGTATCTTCACAATGTTGTGAAGGCCTCACCAGTATACATTTCCAGAACTTTTTTAGCCTCTGTAACAGAAACTCTATTCATTAAGTTATAACTCCTTCTCTGCCTCCCTGGTAACATCTATTCTACTTTTTCCCTGTGAATTTGCCTATTCTATGCATTTCATATAAGTGGAATCATTTATTTGTCCTTTTTTATCTGGCTTATTTCACCAAGCACATTTTTAACGTTCATCCATGCTGTAGAAGGTGTCATTGCTTTTTAGGACTTATATATATTCTATTGTATATATGTAATTCAGTTCAGTTCAGTTTAGTCACTCAGTCATGTCTGACTCTTTGCGACCCCGTGAGCTGCAGCACGCCAGGCCTCCCTGTCGAACACCAACTCCTGGAGCCCACCCAAACTCATGTCCATGGAGTCGGTGATGCCATCCAACCATCTCATCCTCTGTTGCCCCCTTCTCCTCGTGCCCTCAATCTCTCCCAGCATCAGGGTCTTTTCCAATGAGTCAGCTCTTCGCATGAGGAGGCCAAAGTATTGGAGTTTCAGCTTCAATATCAGACCTTCCAATGAACACCCAGGACTGATCTCCTTTAGGATGGACTGGTTGGATCTCCTTGTGGTCCAAGGGACTCTCAAGAGTCTTCTCCAACACCACAGTTCAAAAGCATCATTTCTTCAATGCTCAGCTTTCTTTATAGTCCAACTCTCACATCCATACATGACCACTGGAAAAACCATAGCCTTGACTAGACGGACCTTTGTCGGCAAAGTAATGTCTCTGCTTTTTAATATGCTGTCTAGGTTGGTCATAACTTTCCTTCCAAGGAGCAAGCGTCTTTTAATTTCATGGCTGCAATCACCATCTGCAGTGATTTTGGAGCCCCCCAAAAATAAAGTCGGCCACTGTTTCCACTGTTTCCCCATCTATTTGCCATGAAGTGATTGGACCAGATGTCATGATCTTAGTTTTCTGAAAGTTAAGCTTTAAGTCAACTTTTTCACTCTCCTCTTTCACTTTCATCAAGAGGCTTTTTAGTTCCTCTTCACTTTCTGCCATAAGGGTGGTGTCATCTGCATATCTGAGGTTATTGGTATTTCTCCCGGCAATCTTGATTCCAGCTTGTGTTTCTTCCAGCCCAGCGTTTCTCATGATGTACTCTGCATATAAGTTAAATAAGGAGGGTGACAATATACAGCCCTGACGTACTCCTTTTCCTATTTGGAACCAGTTTGCTTTTCCGTGTCCAGTTCTAACTGTTGCTTCCTGACATCTTAGATGACCCTTATTTTCAGTTTTGTTTTGTTTTTTGTTAATAGCTATCTTAGAGGATATGTAGGGCTATCTCATTGTGGTTTTAATTTGCATTTTCCAGTTAGTAGTGATGCTGGGCACTGTTTTATATGCTTGTTGACCATCCATATATCTTCTTTGGAGAAATGCCTGTTCAATTCTTTTGATCATATTTAAGTTGAGTTGTTTGTTATTTTGTTGCTGAATAGTAGGATTTCCCT